TTTCCCTCTTTCTCTGTTTGTCTCTTACTCTTTCTGGCAAACACATGTGCCCTCTGGCAAAATTTTTTGGAAGTTCATGGAAAATGCATATTATGAAAAACTACGCACAGATTTAAAAAAAAAACTTTTGCACCAAAATAAACTCATGCTTTAATTCCAATTTCTACAAACTTTTTTTATGATATATACAACCAGAGACATAAGGGAGAATGGATGGTGGAATGTAACTTGGAGGCACATGTTAAGAATGGGTAAAGGAAAATCATGAGGAAAAAAAAAGCTGAAGTAGAGAAAGATGAGGCAAATTAAGAGAGAGAAGGAAGAAATATATTTTAGCACCCACCACCCATATTCCAGGCACCACAGATGTAAGGACAAAATTTTATCAAAAGTCAAAGTGTCTGAATGTTCCAACAGCCCCTGCAGCTCACAGCAAAGTCTGAAGGTCACCTCTGAGAACTTTCCCCGAGGAATGATACCCTGTTCTTGGCAACAGATTGGTTTCTACTATTTGTGGAATGCTTGGGTTCTTTGGCATCTACCTGCATGGTTTCTCTTTTGCCTATCTAATAAAGTCAGTTCCCTGTGATTGCTTCTGTTTTATAGTCTGGCTCATCTAATTGCTGATAAAACAATATTGGACTCATGATAATAGTCCAACAACAGGATTCAGGTGACACCTGAGTAGGCTTTTCCCTAATGTGCATAACTTTGACATCTAGAGCCAACCAGGAAATAACCTCTCAACAATCACCCACCTGAAAGCACTCTTTCTTGATAATTTTCCAACAAAGAGCAAAAATATTAAACCACAGAATGATACTTTTGAGCATGAGGAAATGAAAAGGTTTAAAAAAGCCAGATAATTTACATACATATCCATACTTTAACCCAGGAGTAGTAAAACTGCTGACAAAGAAATGATAGAATATCACTGGAAGATTTCAAGTGACAGGCCATTTCTGTGTGGCAAAAGGTTAACATGGACCATTGGCATGCTTCAGGTAATTTGTAGATTAACTTTAGCTGTGACTCAGAAATCAATATACCTATCTGTGCATTAACTGACTTTAGCTTAAATCAATATACATTCAGATGGTGATCATTTTTAAATTTCACATTTGTATGAAGCATAGTCAAGAATAGAATTCTATAATTTTGTAGCTAATTTTACCTACTCCACACACCTGAATCTTGACTTTATAATCCAAAGAGGAGACATCCTGCCCAGAGTCTCTATTTAACCACACATTTTTTTTGAGAAGTTTTTGCTATAGGGCATGTGTGCTCACCAGACAGACAAAGAGAGATAGAGAGACGGAAAGTGAGAAATCACCCCCCCAGAGGGGATGGCCACACCACAATCCCTGCTCCTCCATTCTCCTCTCGGGATCTTGGGCACACGCACACACGTGCCCAGCGTGAGTTTTAAGCCACCAGGTCTGGGACATAAACCGCAGTCAACTACAGGGGAGTCCAACGACATAGCCATTCCGCCAACTGCTGGTCCCTATTTAACCACACTTTATAAGGACTGGGTCTAGCTCTTTCCCAAAGTAGCCAAGAAAAGTTTATGGTAGGAGAATCTGGATCCTCTTCTGAGTGTCCAGATTTCTCTTGTTCCATAAGACCTGATTAAAGCCAAAAAGTCTTCTTTTTGTTTCTACATCCTTACAATTAAATCTTACTCTTTAGAGACAGTTCTGTGATGCAGCATTAATGTGCTGCTCAAAAGAAGCTGGATCCTTGGGGCCAGAGGGTGGTGTAGTAGTTAGGCACTGGACTCCCAACTGCTGTTTGAGTTAAGGACTGGAGGCTTGAAACTCATGCTGGAAACCTGTGCTTAGTATATGAGATCATTTTGGGAGGTCAGGTGGATGGAGAGACAAGAATAACTCCAGAAGAGTTATGAAAGAGTGGTCTTCCTAGTGGAAACCCAGAGCAACTCTAAATTCAGAAACAATAAACAAAAAATTGAAAATGTGCTATAGATAGATGATAGTTCCAGTTTCCACCTGTTATCTTGGCAAAATAATCAATAGAGTCCTCTTTCACTCTCAGAATTGTCTCATTGTAGATAATAAATTATGTTATTGTCTTACTTATAAACTTTATCAGAATAAGTCAGTAATAACCGAGCCAGTTGAGCGCTCCCAAACCCACTCCCTTTCTCACTAAAGAGAGTAGGTGATAGACCAGAGGAAGAAATAAAGGGTGGGTGTTCAGGTCTAAGAGAAAAACAGCTCTAACCTGCCACAGAGGTTGAGTTGACTTAGCTTCTAGGAAAGCCTACTTTATTGAGGTAGTTGTGGGATTTGCTAGACTGCCTGACTAAACTACAGGAAAGTCTCTCTGTTATGGGGCCACTCACCAGTCCTCTTATTTAAAGGCAAAATCTAGCAGGGACAATAACCTTTGAAACTGCACTAATCTATCTAGTCCTTCATCTGTAAATACAAACCAATAACCCACATCACCTGATATCTGAAGAAAACCAACAGCGTAAAAAAGAGGGAAGCTAGAGAAGAGAATGGGATTTATATTTCCCTAGGAAAAAGGTTTTTATTTCTTTTTAAATTCTAACTAGTACCCTGAAGTTATTCAAGATGACATTCATGAAACAATAACAAGCTGATATAAACAGAAAAAAACAGAATGGTAAAGACTTGCTGGAAATTAAAAATATGTAATCGACTAACTATACAGTAAGATGAACAGGATGAAATATTGAAGGAATCTCTTAAAATGCATGCCAAAATAACAAAATGGAGAAATATGTGGGTGGAAAAATAAAACACTAAAAAGAAGAAAACATTTTTAAAATGAATGGGATGAAATAATCAATTACATTTTTAAAAAATAGAAAAGTTCCCTGCACCAGAGGATGGTATAATTATAACTCTTCAAACTGAAAAGGACACCAAGTACCAGTCAGGATAAATGAAAATGGTCCCATAGATATTCACAATTTTGGGGACTCCCAGGACAAAGAAAAAAAAACTCTAAAAACTTCCATAAGAAAACAAAATTGGGAAGATTCTTCATGGCTACTGCGAACTAGGTATTTCAGGGCACACGAGAAATGAAGATTTTCTACGATAATTCAGCCTCCAGCAAACAAGCTAACGTGGTAGGGAGCCCCCCCACCACCACCACCAACTGGCCTTCTATCTCTATTTCTGTGTCTCTGTCTCTGTCTCTCCCTGCTTCTGTATTCCAATTTTTTTTTGTAATTTTTCCTTTTTACATTTTTTTTTAAAGGTAGAGTTTTTCTCTTGCTCTCAGCTCCACCTTTTATCTTGTTAATAATCCTCTCTGGTCCTCCCACCCAGGCAGGAGAGGCCAGGCCTTCAGAAGAAAATTCCTCAAGAAAAACAGTAATTAGAATTTTTTTTGTCTTTTTTTTTTCTCTTTTTGTTGTTGTTTCTCTCTTTTTCATTTTCCTTTTTCTTGTCTCTCCAC